AGTACTCCTACTCTTATATTTGGTCATTATTTAGGTGTTCATCTTTATATATATATATATATATATATATATATATGTATATGTCCTTTTGTTATAAACACAAATGCTGACGTGGCAGCCAACATTTACACAAATATTAGTAGGCTTGGAAAAACGAAAAGGCAGAAGGAGGACCTAAATGTCACAATGCTTACTGCTAGAAAGATGTGTACCAACAAACTGACCAAATATAAGAGTAGGAGTACTGACAACAGCTGAGGCTAACTGGGAACAAGTAACAGAAGTGGGTGTGGCAGACCAGAGGAACAGAGCTGACTGAAGAAGAGAGAATGACAGGTGGCACAGATAAAACTCAAAGGGTGTTAACTCAAGCAAGTAAACACAGTAACCACCAAAACACAAATATACCTACTAATAAAACACAAAGGGCTAAACCAAACTATCAAAACAGCAATCTGCCAAACTAAAGAGATTCTAGCATCTGGTTGGATCACAAAACGAAAGCCACCTCTGACAATCACCAAATACAATAAAGCAATGGCTAATCTTCTTTGAAAGGATTATCTCTGGGTGATCTGAAAGGGATCCATTGTTGTTTGCATTTGATTTAAATCAAATTTAGAGATTATTACATAACCTGTTTTTAAGTCTAAAGAGGCAGAGTCGAGGCATTCTGTTGCGCAATCGACCTTCACGTTTTTATGCTGTCAGAATTATTATTTTTTTCCTCCATTATATGAATTATTGATAATATGGCTATGATACCACTTGTAATGAAAAAGTAATGCTATGCTGAATGAACGTACTCTTGTTCACTGAAGATGTAGAACTACAAACACTATCCAGCCATGCTCAGAGAACATTGGAGCGGTTTTATTTTCTCTCGCTTTCTTGTCCAAGTGTATCTTTTTCTTACCCTCTAGGTTGAACTTATATTTACAGAGATAAAGCTATTAACCTTTCCCCACACTTGCAATGGTTGTGGAACAATTAGTACTCCTACACAGTACCTGCAGAGCTTCTTATGTGTTAATCAACTTTTATATAAAAGTTATTTTTACTCTGGATAGAAATAATAAAGATGCTGCGTCCTTTTTTTGTGCTCAGCCTGCAAGTTTTATGTTTCTCAATTGCCCCTCTGTGCCACGAGGTAAAAATAAGACAGAACGAGGAGCTTGTCTCTAAAGAGCATTTAGTGATTGAGATTCATTTCTTTAAATGTGTTATTGTTTTGTGTTGTTGTCTCAGTTTGACAGTGTAGTATGTCCCCTTATTCTCGCTCTATGGAGTTAGACAGCGCACTAAATGTACCCACCACCCACTCCACTCAACCACCCTACCACTGTATGAATCATGCTTTAGTACTAGTAGCAATTTTCCATGTCATGTTTTTGTTTTACCAAGCCCATTGTTGTCAGTCTCATACAAAGACACATGCATTTTATATTAAAAAAAAAAATGGTTATGGGAGCACAAATAATGCTGGATGCAAAGGGTTTCTGGATGTTCTGTCCATTATGGTTGTTGTGTTGGTGAAAGCTCTCCACTTCTCTTCTCCCTCCTCTCTTCACGTTTCTTCCCACTGCTCCTCTCTTTTCATCCTCTCTAATCCAAACAACACAGTCACCGCGATTAAACGCATCAAGCAGAAGCACTTACTAAACATCCAAGTCGCTCCTAAAACACGTGTTTCTCTTGTTAAAAAAAAAAAAGGAAAGAAAGAAAAAGCTTTGTTCAGCTAATGTTAAAAGTAACCCTCCCTCCCCATCTTCCTCTGTCCTCTCTCTTCACTCTCTTGAAAACTCTTTAGGCTTTTCCAGCTGAGCGACTCCGGCTGAGGCGGGCGCAAACGCACTAGAGGGAAAGTCAAGTCGTGCTGGACTGGCGCGATATCCTCGCGCGGTTTACAACTACAGAAAGAGCCGAACCGTAATTAATCATGCTTCTAAAATAATGCCAAATGCCGACCGGGTATCTGCGAAGCATGGCTTTCCTTTTAACTTACCTACTGGTGTTTTGGTGAGTACATGGCAACTCTTTTCTCTGCATGTTTTCGGACTTTTACGCACGGCGAAAACGCAGCCTGGAAGAATGCGCATCAGGATTAAAATAAAAATTAATAAATAAAATAATTTAAAAAAAAAAGATAAAATATCGACGGTATTTCTGATACAGTTTTCCATCTGGGTCTGTTCATGTGGTTACAGTGCGGACAGTGTTTGGGGAGATCAGCACAGTGAGACCAGTATCTATTTGGATAACATCACGCGTATATTGGATAGATTACTGGATGGCTATGACAACAGGCTGCGACCTGGATTTGGAGGTAAAAATCATCGACTGCTGCTTGTAATTTATTTAAAACGGCCTCATATTTTCTGTAGCATTCCTGCTTTCAAGCTATTCAAGAAATAAAGTTTTGCTCTGTTAAATGTGTGTGCCTTATAATATTGTCTCTTCAATTGATTTTTTTTTTCCCTTTACAACATTACACAATATCAGCCAGTCATGCTTTATAACTAAATGCTGGGCTGTGTTCTCCAAATATATTGTATTTAAACTTTTTAATCTGTGTACTTTGAGTCAGATCAGGATCAAATGTCTGATCCAAAGTTTCCATTTTTCAAATGATTATTATACTTCTGCTGTAGGTCCTGTCACCGAAGTTAAAACAGACATCTTTGTCACCAGCTTTGGGCCTGTGTCCGATGTTGAGATGGTATGTAAGCCATGCTGACTGTTTTATGACTTGCTAAAGATCTTTGTGTTCACAAAATGTACAGTTTTTCATAGTAAACACACATAGTCTTTACTCATCGCTCTCCAGGCTTTCATTATTCCTGCATTTAGGCAGGATGTCATTAGTACAGCTTAAGATTTTAATCTGTTTGACAATCCCTCCACCGCAGAGGGAGCGAGTGATGTGGATGATGTGGGATGGGATAGGCTGCTCCTGCTATGGGATAGGTTGATTGATGTATATCTTTTGTGCTCTACTCTGTGTAGGCTTAAGATATTTGAAAAAAAAAAAAAACAACTCTAAAGTCTATAATACTTGTGGCTGATGTGTTGTGAAGAATGTAAGCAGCTCTTAAGGTCATTGCATTCATGCAACATCAGAATCCATCTACTCTGAACTTTATTTTGACTTTATGGATGGTGCTAACTGCATTGATTTGAGGCATAGTCTGTCAAACAGCAGATCACGTTTCAACTTCTAACATTAAAAATGTAACATGTGTTTGTGTTATTTATAAATAGCCAGTCTTGTCAGTTTTACTTGCACTTGAATGAACTGTACAACAGCCAGGAAAGAACAAGAGAAAAAAAAAAATCATAGTGTGAGAAAACAACTTAGACTGCCAGTTCTATATCAAGCTGGTTCCATCAAAACCAAACCTCACAAACCCATCTGTCGTTCTCTCTGGGGTTCCAGATAATAATGACACAAAATAGTACACACATGAGAAGCATCAGCTGTAGGCTTGGTGATACTAGCTACTAGTAAGTATATTATTAACATGCACTCTTAACTCTTCTCCAGGAATACACCATGGATGTGTTTTTTCGTCAGACGTGGATTGACGAACGGCTAAAATTCGAGGGTCCAATTGAGATCCTGCGGCTGAACAACCTGATGGTCAGCAAAATATGGACGCCCGACACCTTTTTCCGAAATGGCAAGAGGTCGATATCTCACAACATGACCACTCCCAACAAGCTGTTCCGCATCATGCAAAACGGAACTATCCTCTACACCATGAGGTAAGCGTGTGCCAAATAGAGCACAGACCTGCAACGCAAGTGGAACAACTATAGGCGTCCAAAAATATGCACAAGCATAAACAAAACCGAAGAGCACAATGCCAAGCACATAAAATACAATTTAAAAATGAGTTTGTGCCATCTGATTCTGAAAACGGGCCTTGAAAGCTAATCAAACAAACAGAACTCCAGCCTTGTTCCAAAAGCAAATGAAGCACAAAAAAGAACCAAGAAAATAAAGAGAAGAAAAGAAAAGCAAAGACAGATGCCACAAAACTAGTTTTGTGCATTTTATCTTGCTTTTAAAAGTAAAAGTTAAAATCGAGTTCTTTAAATGTCTCAATAAATAATATGCAATATAAAATGCAAAGCCACATCCCCATGTCCATATATTGTGTCATGATCTTAATGCTTGCAGCTCAATATTAGGAGGAAAAGTTACAAAATAAACACGTTTGATGATCTTTGCTGATGAAAACTATACCCATTTACTGCCATCCTGCGAATCAATTTCACTTACATAACTTAATGTAACTCAGTCTTACTAATAATTTCTGTGGGAACTAAATGTACCTGATTAATAATATCGTAGGAGTCCACAGAATTTACTTTGCGTGTCAGATGAGCAGAACACAACAACCAATTTGCACTAAACGTTCATTAAAACAAACAACTTACAGTAATTGTTCGATTTTTAAATCACCTTACATAACCTTCATCTCTGTGCATGAGCATTTTACACAAAGTTGTGACCTACTTATTTCAGCAGTGTGTGCTCTCTTCTTTTTTTTTTTTTTAAACCTAAGTAATTAAGGTTATTGGATGTAGCTACATCAACAGGAAAACTGTACAACAGGTCTATGGTTACTTTCATCAAAGTGTTAGGTGTCTGCTTATAAATAAGATCAATGTCTATGCATTATCTATTGGAAAACTGTATACAGTAGAAAAAGGGTTGAAAGCTCAATTATCCTGGTAGATAAATCACAAAAATGGGTTTAATAATGTCATCTGGACAGTTACTTTTTGGGAAAGATGTTTTGTCTTTCATCCAAAACACTTTATCAGTCTGAGGCCTGCCAACCCAGATCCGTCTTATAAATAGCACCTCCTTGATGCGTTTCAAGACAGTCCTCTGTGGAATTCCCAGAAACTGGCTTTACCAAAATAAAATAAAAAATAAATAATAATATATACATACAGAGTAGTCATGTGTTATGATTCATTTTATTCCATCCATCCATCCATCCATCCATCCATCCATCCATCCATCCATCCATCCATCCATCCATCCATCCATTATCTTTACCCGCTCCTTCCTTTTTTGGTCACGGGGGTCACTGGTGCCCATATCCAGCCATGACTGTGCAAGAGGCTGGGGACATCCAGGACAGGTTGCAAGTCCAAATTTTATTCTAGAGAACAAAAATAAAATTAGGAAATAAATAAATAAAATAAATCCAACATTGAAAGGCAGACCTGAGGGGCTGAGTGAATATTAGTGGACTTAGAAAGAATCTATGGTATGTACAGTGTGAGCTTTTCTTTCTCGTTCTTTTTGCTTTCAGCAACCGTGCACCAAAAAGTGATGGGGTTTGGGAAACAATATTAACTGAATAATCTCTGAAAATGATAAATAAGGCTAAAAATCCTGTGCTAATATATGTGGGAAAACAATATTTCAAGTTCTTTTGACTTAGCACTCATTATATATGGCCTGGTGCTTTCAGAAATTGAAAATGTACCTTTATGAGTGGGTATTTCCTATACATCTTCATTCCAAGCACCCAAACTGCAGTGTTGTGTTTTTACTTATTTATTACATTATAAATGATTCTCTGTCACATCTGTACATATTGAAGAGTTCAACCATCCACATTTATCCTCACATAAACATGTTTTATGTTATGTTTTAATTAGTACCATACTGAATAAATTTAGTTTAAAGCAGCTCCCATCAAATATAAATCAAACACTCATTTCAACTCTTCTTTATTCTGACAGATTAACTATAAATGCAGAGTGTCCCATGCGTCTGATGAACTTCCCGATGGATGGACATGCCTGCCCGCTCAAGTTTGGAAGTTGTGAGTGATTGTTTTTGTTAAGGCTCGATGGTTTGACAGATGGTGTCACTCTCAAATGATCTCTCTGTCATGGAATAACTGACCATCTGACAAGATGTCTTCAAAAATTTCAGTATGAAACATCCCAATCTGTAAATTAAGAAGCTCAAAACAAATGGGATTGTCACCGTGTTGGGTTATTTATGGATTTATTTATGGGTTTATTTAAAAGTTTCCTTTTCATTAGGAATAGGAACATAGTGATATAAAGTTTTAAATCCCAGATACTAAAAACAGAAAGGCTGAAATGATATATACATTTACATCAACTTTGCTGATATTTGTTTATTGGTTTGTATATTGTTTATGTATTTCTGAACGTCTAGAATTTTAACAAAGCTATCACACATCTTATTTTTAGATGCTTACCCCATTAGTGAGATTGTTTACACTTGGAAGAAAGGACCTCTATCTTCTGTTGAAGTGCCACAAGAATCGTCAAGTTTGTTGCAGTATGATCTAATTGGACAGACAGTTTCAAGTGAGAGGCTGAAGTCCAATACAGGTGAGAAGAAATTACTTTGAAACACGTTCAGAGGTGTGTTGTATCTAGTTGAGTCTCATTTGCATGTGGTAATGAAATCAGAACTTTTACTTTCACTGTGCAATAAGACACAAAGTGTTTTGTAATATAAAATAAACCTTTGCATTAAGTTAAAGGCTTAAAATATAACTGATTAAAAATATACAATATTACAACATCTATTAAACAACATATATTAATACAGCTGTTAAACTGTCAATGATGGTGTACCACAAGGCTCAGTCTTAGGTCCCACCCTCTTCTCAATCTACATAGATAATGTAGGTCAGATCATTCCAGATGCATCTCCACATTTCTATGCAGATGAGTTGTTTATTGTCAAACTAGAACAGTTGCTAAGGTTTTCCAGCTTTTAGTCTGCTTTTGACATCATCCAGTCAAATTTGTTCCATCACAAACTGGTGCTAAATGACAATAAAACCAAAGGGATATTGTTTTCAAACAGGAAGTCCGTACCAGCAACTCTTTCTTCTATCTTATATATGAATGTTTTTCCTATTGAGTTTGTAGATCCTTACAAATATTTGGGTATCTTGGTCGAAACACCTCTCTCTTTTAAGCCTCACGTCGAAAGTTTGGTAAAGAAATTCAAAGTAAAATTGGGTTTCTTTTTCAGAAATAGATCTTGTCTAACTCTGAATGCTAGGAAACACCTTGTAACTACTATTTTCCTTCCGTCCATTGACTATGGTGACATTATTTACATGAAAGCTCCTGCAAGCACCTTGCAGATGTTGGACACTGTCTATACAGTGCGCTAAGATTCATAACTTGCTTTAACTATCGTACCCATCACTGCACTTGTATTCACTGGATTAACTGGTCATTGTTAACTTCACCCATGCCCTCACACAGGTACATTTTCATCTTTAAATCACTTCTTGGTTTGCTGCCTTCATATATCTCCAACATGTCACATTGTCAGTGCAGCTACAGCGTGCACTCCCAAGACATCATTACCTGCAGTGTCACATCAGTGTGGACGGAATTTGGCAAAATGGCCTTCTCTTACTCTGCTCCTGTAACCTGGAACACCTTGCAAAAAGATCTGAAACGCTCAACCTTGACCTCCCTCAGGCATTTTAAACTACTGTTAAGTTCAATGCAAAAAAAAAAAAATCAATGCAGACATGTTCTTGTTTTAAGTATTTTACACCGTTTTATAATGTAGCATGTTTTTTAAATTTTGTTTTATATCACATATTTTATATACTTTTCATTTTTTATGCTTTCATATGAAAGTTTATTGTTGTCTGTACCTCATTTGTGTTTTTTGTTTAAAACAGTTCTCTCTTGTAATTGAGTCCTCGTGACTCAGTGAGACTAACCTGTATAAATAAAGGTTGAATGAATGAATACCAGTATCAACATTTGCACATGTATAATATTTTAATGGGAAAGATGGACTAACACAGTCCTTAACTGCATTTGGTCTTAGGTTTTTTTTTTTTTTTTTTTAATCTAACAAATGTTTTGGGGTTTACTCTTGCAGGTGAATATGTCATCATGACGGTTCACTTTCACCTTCAGAGAAAAATGGGTTTCTTCTTGATTCAGACCTACATTCCCTGCATTATGACTGTCATCCTGGCACAAGTGTCGTTCTGGATTAATAAGGAATCAGTTCCAGCTCGGACTGTGTTTGGTAAGTTGCTTTAAAATCAATTTTACTCATACCATACCTTAAATAAGTCATAAAATGACTTTCACCTTTAAGATGAAAGTAAAACAGGACGTGTTTGGAACACATTTGAAAAATTGGAAGACACAGAACACATTAATTTCCATTTGGAACAGAACCATTTCAAAATCTCAAGACCAGTTTTAGATTTTTGGCAAAAATTGCAAACAAATGGTGTTGCAAACAATTAAAACTCATCCTTAGTTTTTGCCTCCATGTTTTTGCATGGTATTTGTAAGTTTACATGTCTCTGACTAACTGAAGTTATCTCACTTTGGTACATACTGTATGTTACTTTTAAATTGAAGTAGTGCTTCCTGAGCTTCTCACATTTTGACCGGTTCCATAAATTTTACTCTGTAAAAACAAACATTTATCAAACTCAAGTGATCTAACTCATGGGATAAAATAAATACATCAATAAATAAATAAATGGAGTATGCACAGACAAGTTTAAAGATGTTTCTGCTCTTTTTTGTTGATAAACCCATGTAAGATTTATCCATATCTTTGTTGACGCTTACAGAAATTAGCTGTGCTGTTGTGAGCATCCGTGCACACCTGGTTATGTATATGCACCATTAGCCCACTATATCTAGCTGGCAAAGAGGAATCTATGTTTCTGTGTTAAAATTTTTAATGTGCTTAATGAGGATTGAAAACTATCACAGCATGCAACTCCTGTTCACTGTGTGCATGGAAAAGTATAACAGCTGAGCAAAAGTTATTATTGCTCAAAATCTTTGTAAACATTGAAAAATATATTTTTTTAGAGGAGACTGTGTGTACAACTGAGTACACAATCTGGCAGAGCAATGATAATGTGGAAATGGCAAATACTGCAGCTAACTCAGCAGAATAGTTGGCATTGTGTTGGTTTTATTGTCCAGTGTGTTGTATAGTCTAACACTGAATCAAAATCAAACTTCACTGTTCACACTTGATACAAACACATTCAATTCAGTTTATTTATATAGTGCCAAGTCACAACAAAAGTCATCTCAGGGCACTGAACAGAACCATTCCTATGTAAAAAAAAAGTAAGTTAACATTATTTATCTGAGGAGCAGACTGCTTTGAATTTAACTCCATCGCAGAACTCTCATCTAGATGAGCAAGCATGAAGGTGACAGTGGAAAGGAAAAACTCCCTCATGAGGAAGAAACCTTTAGCAGAACCAGGCTCAGGACAAACGGCCATCTGCTTCGACCGGCTGGGTTTGAGAGGAACAGGAAGGAGGAACAGATACACAATGGCAGATCAAGAATCATGTTAAGATATAAATAATATCAAATACAAATTATTACATTTTAACAATTCATTTAAGGAAATGTGGTCAATTTGTCCTCCAGTAGTTTAAGCCTATAGCAGCATAACAAACCAACCCTAACTATAGGATTTATCAAAAAGGAAAATCTTAAGCCCAGTCTTAAAACTTGACAATGTGTCAGCCTCACGGACAGAAACAGGAAGTTGGTTCCACAAGAGAGGAGCCTGAGAACTGAAAGATCTTCCTCCCATTCTGTTTTTTGAAAACTCTAGGAACTGCAAGTAAGCCTGTAGTCTGAGTGTGATGTGTTTGGAAAATATGGAACAATAAGAACTTGAATATGAGATGGAGCTAGGTTGTTGAGAACTTTGTAGGTTAGAAGTAACATTTTGAATTTTATTCTGGACTTGACAGGGAGCTGATGGTGAGAAGCTAAAACTGGAGAGATATGATCTCTCCTACTAACTCCAATTAGTGGGAGTTTCTTTTCACTAATATGACTTCCTTCACCCCTCACTAAAACCAACATTCCTCTCTATCAAGAATGTGAACATCTTAATTTTTGAAAGAGTGACTGCTGGCCTGGATATGAGTGCAACCCACATAGTCCTGTCCTGATGATGTTGCTCATCAGGTGATGATGTTGGATGGATTCATATGATGTTGCTCATAAAACAACATCACCAGGATAGGGCTTTGCAGTCCAAACTCATCTCCAGGCCAGCGGTTACTTGTTCAGGCATGAAGATATTTGCATCCTTGATAGAGAGGAACATTGGTTTGAGAGAGGAGTAAAGGATGCTATCCTTGTGAAGAGAAACCATCCATCATTAAACAGGAGCAGAAGCCTCCGTGTTCAACTGCCCCCCTCTTAAAATCCTGTTATTGCTAGTATCATTCAGCCTTCGGTGAATAGTAAGCATCCATATGGGTGCTAACAATCTATCATTAGGCTGATGGTCCTCCTTGATCATGTGAACAGCTAATTCTGGATGTCAATAACAAACTGCTTGATCCACTATGAGAAGGTGCTATTTATAAGAGTGAGTTTATTGCAGCTCCTCAGACTGACAAAGTATTTTGGCTAAAAGGGCAAAATGTTTCAACAAGTTTATTTTTTTTATTTTTTATTTTTATTTTTATTCTGATTCCATCCAGAAGACCTGACTTAACTTTGATATATATATTTTTAACCTGGATTAATGAGCATGCGTCAGTATTCATCCCTTAGTTAATTGCACTTTGATTTGAATTTGATGAAATCCTTCATTAAATACGACCCTCAAAACAAAACTGATATTAAATGCAGTGTTTTTTTTTTTTGTTTTGTTTTTTACAGTTTCAACATTCTTTTATTTATTTATTTTTAATTGGTTATGATAGCTCTGAGAGGAAGATGTTTACTTGGCCCTCCTCCGAGCACTTGTAGGTTCCGCTTTCTCACATTACATTACGCTACAGTTGCCACCAATCTCTAGCCTTAGGAGCAGAGAGGGGGAGTCACATTAAACAAAGACAGGGATACAGCAAGAGAGATAACAGGGACAAAGAAAGACAAATATTAAAAGCAATGTGTGAAAGTACATGGGCGATGCTATAATTTCCGAACACTATTCCACTTCTGTTAAAATTCAACAAGCTGCAGCTGAGTAGAGGAAAACTGCTCTTGTAGCTCGTGGCTCTGTTCTTTTCCTCTGAAATGAGCCAGCGCTCCATGAATCTTGCACTCTTCTGTAGAGAATAGATGACAGTCATTAGCATTAGCATAGAAGTTGAGGCCTCTTGTTCAAGGCACATCTGTGGCAACTCATCAGCTTTACGCATCTTGCTTTTTTTTTTTTTTCTCTGTAATTTATGTAATCTCTAAATTGGTTCAAATTCAACCAGAATGTGTATTTTAAGAGAAAGCCAAGCAGACGTTCAAAAATTCTATATTGATCTTATATTTTAGGGCTGCTCAATACGTCAAACATCACCTCCCATCATTCAACCTTTATTTATACAGGTTAATCCCATTGAGCCTCGTGGACTCATTTACAAAAGAGAGCTGATTTTTTTAACAGAGTCATGACAACAGTGAACAACAATGACAACAATGGACAATCATAAAAGGTGCGTGCAATTTTTATAACAAGTTAAAATAAAATGGCAATCAAAAGGAAAGGTAGCGAACAAACAGATAGATTGTAAGGCAGTGTAGAAAACTAAAAACAGGAACATGTCTGCATTGGTTTCTGCCAGGAAAAAGCATCCCAGAATAAATGTGTGCAATGTTAATATCACAAAGGATTGCATGGACTGAATAAAGCTACGTACACAGTTGTTATATAATAAGTGCTGCAGTTGGCCAATCAAACACAGACTAAACCTGTTTTGGAAGATAGTGGCAAAACACTAAAACACACAAAATGTGTTGTGAGATGTACATTAAAAAAAGGTTAACAACAACCAATAATGCTTTTGTTATATTGCAACCAAATAGCTAATCTAATTATTGTTACCTAAATTTAAACCAAGGGCCCAGCTTCACGTTAAACTGTATTTTTTTTATTCCCTCCTTTCTCCAGTATTGTGTTTTCTGCTTGTGTGTTTCTAAATTTCTGTGAGAGAGCAGATTTTGTGCATGTGAAGTGGCCAAAAAGCCATTATCTCAGCTACTTCCAGTAATATGTTGATGGTGTTTGGACGACAGAAGAGAATAAAAGAGAATAGACAGTGCATTAAGTTATAGTGTGCTGTGTGCTGGTTGTCAACAATCTCTCCAAGAGCTGAGAGTCCCTTGAGCACAAGTTTTACAGACTTAATTGAGTGTGGCCTAATTTGTACCTTACTTTTTTCCCCTGTAAATGCACATAGATGCCCCAAGCATTTTATTCCTGTCCTCTCTTTAGATTCTTCCCCTTCACTATGTTTTGCCATTCTCTTGCTTCTTTCTCCAACCCTGACAAGTGTTCTTCCCTTTTCCCTCTTCTGTATTTTTTTTATTTATTTTGCAGTTATTCACTTGCTTCTTTGATTGAGGCAGTCACTTTTTGTTGACTGTTCAAGGAGGCTGTGTTTGAAAGTTGTTAGCTTTTGCTATTGAAGTGCAGTGAAAATGCTTTCCAACATTATTGGATGCATTAAGACCCCCTTAAGTCCCAACTCTGCTAATGAATTGTGCTCAGCTAAAGCGTACATTTGTTAAAAGCCCGGGTAGCAATGTTCAGTGGTCCCTTTTTCCCTTCTTGCTTTAGTTTGCCGGAAGTGAATTAGATATGTACTTTGTTAATAGGCCTTTCAGACTTGTTTATTGTTAGCATCTCTGTCTTAAAACCAGTATGGGTTCATCCTGAGTAAACAAAAAAAAAAAAAAATCCATTTCAAATGAATAATTGCAAACGTATAGTTCACATTTGTGCATTTATTTATCCTGGGTAGGAAGACTTGTGACATCACCCATGTCTCTAAAATATGTTTGTTTGCATCATTGAGTATGCTAGATTGTCATCTTAATCTAGAAAATGTACAATGATCACTTAAATAACAGCCGTCCATCCATCCATCCATCCATACATACATACATACATACATCCATACATACATCCATACAT